ACACCTTCCTCATGCCCACAGAGCAGCCTTACCCTAACTCCTTAAAGAAGGGACTGACTCTCTTTCCTCTCTATTTTCCAGAATTCCCTTTTGTCCATAGGAAGTCTCCAAAAGAAAAGTCTACAACCAAAAAGTAGCAGCGTATCTGGGAGACGTTCAACGGGAGCTGAGCAGGCAGGTCCTGGAGCGCAGAGACTAGTTCTTTCACCTCTCCTCTTGCAGGAAAGAAGACAAAAGATGAAAGTCAGGGAACATTCAGTACAAAGTGTTCATCTTCACTTTGTATCAGCACAAGCAGGGAAGGCAAACAGCCCTCCCCTAGTGACTCCTAAAGGCAAGTACATCCATGCCTTCCTAAGTAGGCAGGTGCCAAGTTTCGAGTATACGCCTCCTCCTCCCCATACAAGTTATAGAAGAGTCTGGTACCAACTTGCATTTGGGTAGAGTATATTTATAGTCAAATATATCTGATGAGGGTCCATGAAGGCTTGGCATGGCGATGTATGCCGTTAATTCCAGAATTCAAGAGGCAGAGAAAACGGAGTTCTGTGAGTTCAAGGCCAGCCTGGTCTACATAGCAAGCCCCAGGCAACCCAAAGTAGGCATGGGTGAATGGTTAAGAATGGAGTTCTTAGAGATGGTGTGGCGGTGCTACATGTCTTAAGTCTCAACACTAAGGTGGCAAAAGCAGGCAGATCTCTCTGTTCAAGGATAGTCTGGTCTACAGGGCAAGTCTGAGGAAAGCCAGGGCTACACAGAGAAACCTTGCTTTGAAAAAATGAGTGTGGGGAGGGAGAAAATGGAATTCTTAAGCAAGATTTGTGTATATGGGGTGGTGGAGACTCTGGGGGTGCTAGGCAGGCACTCTGTCACTGAGTTACATCCCAACCCATGAGTTCTCAGAGGACAGAAATTCCCATTCTATTTAGAATGTAGGATCAGAGAGAATCCACTCATTTTCTACTTAGCATTCTGATTGTGGGGTAGATTTTGAATATTACCGAATTGTAATTTGCCCTAAATGGTAAAAACTTATTTGATTATTAAGGGGTCCAACTTGATGATTACATTTGAAACCTTCTACATATCTCCCACAGAACCTGATATGCCTATAGGTCCAGTTACCCTCAGAGGTTCCGTGCCACACACTTACTGGGGGACAGGTAGAAACAAGATTTGTCTTTCCAAAACTTAACCTGTGCATCTCTGGTGCCAAGATTTAGCCACACGTTAGCCATATGCAAATCCCACCCCCTTGGTCTGTAAATGGAAAGTCTAGTTACTTTATTGAAGAAGTACAGAAACTAAGAGAGGCAATATCATACAAGAAGTGGGTTCTTTACAGGGTCTAGCCGCAGCTACAGTTTTAAGAAGTGCCACTAGCTGTCCCTCTGATTCCTTTCTGGCCAGGGTTATCACTCCCCCTAGTGTTCTTAGAGGCCACGTGGAGCATGACGTAAAAGCAGAAAAGGGAGGGCTGCATAATCCAGAGACCAGTGCTGCTTCTCTTAAAAACACTCATTCAAAATCCAAGCAGGAAGTTATATGTCTAACCAAGTCATTACCTTGTTCCAATTGCACAATAGCCCTACAATAGCCTTAAAATGTTACGAAGAGGCCACCACTCACTTAACAGCATATTTGATGCAAACTTCCATATTTCCTCCTAGGTATAAATATTAAACATTTAAATTTTCAAGAGAAACGAATTGGAATAAAGACATCCAGAGCAAGCTATTTCATATCCATTAGTTATCATTTACACATCAAATACATACAGCATAGGACCAAATATACAGAATTTCCACATTTACATGGGGTAATCAACATAGTGCACAATTTAAGTCTATCTTACAATCAAGTGTACAAGTGGAAGTATGGCTTTATAAACTACTAACAGCAACTGTGCTAAAGTAACTCGTGGCTCCAGAAAAATAACACTGCACAATGCCTCCACAGTGGGGCCCTCCATCAGTGAGATGCTAGTCACCGTGTCTGCGAACCAGACGGCACAGGGAAATGTCCTCCATCGGCCCCAAATCACACCAGTAGGCCCTTGCTCTCTTAGTTTTCTTAGGGTAAACCCAGATATCTTCCATACATTTGGATACACAAGTGAGACGGGAGGGTGATTACCTGGTGTTAGCAAAGCTTGCATTTCAGAAAGGTGCCCAAATTCTCCGGCAATGCATTTTTATTGAATAATTGGGGTTCATCTCCTTTGATTTTCTTGTTTTCACCTTAGTATGGTGAAAGAATTTGGGGAATTGTCAAGGCATTCTAGACCAAGTGTTCCCAAAACCAGAATGAAAACGAGTTCTTGCGAAAGTGAGATCTAGCCACGTGAGATCCTGCCTCAAAGGAAAACAAGCTACATCTAACTCTTGATTTTTCTTGCCACTTACTTTACATAAAAATCAGTAAATAACTTGACCCAAATCATGCATCCATATCTATCCACTTGCCACACGGGTTACAGACACATTCTATAATCAGCTACAGCCTGCTGGGTGATAAGTAACCGCCCCCATTCCTTAAACTCTACTGAATAATACACTTTCTAATGTCTAGGCCTAAGAGGCTTTGAAATGAACATTATAAATCAGCAGAGCCATATACACATCTACAACAATGTCTGCACAGATACATCTGCATTGATCATAAGTAGATACAGAGAGACAAGTACAGAAAGTTCTACGGTTAAATTAAATAAACGATTTGGACAGATGCCTAAATATGAATGACTTATTGTGTCTCCAAACATTTTAAAAAAACGTCTCAAACAAAAAAAAAAGTCTCAAACAAAATATAATTGCTTTATACACTTTCTATAAGTGCCATGACTTTTGATACTAGAACGAAGTTGCGAAATCAAAGGAGTAAACACACTGGGCCAGGACCTGTCAATTGCACTGCAAATTGCCAATCCAGCCTCAGTGGAACAGTACTGAGCACTGAGATCAGGATGAACAGTGACTGTCCTCGGTGGGACAGCGCTGGGACATTGAGCACTGAGGTCAGGATGAGCAGTGACTGTCCTCAGTGGGACAGCGCAGGGACATTGAGCACTGAGGTCAGGATAAACAGCACTATGTATTCAGAGATCATGTCTATGGTCAGAAATTAAGCTAAACAAACCTTACTTCGGTGCTTCCCACATTGGCCACTTGTACATCCGTAGGCAATCCATCACTGTGGAGACTGTTTTTTTTTTTTTCATTTGGAAGCCTGGGCTTTTTATTATTTTCATAACATTCCATCACCTGAAAAACTTTCCATGACGAACACATCGTCAGCCCAGCCACACTCCATTGTCGTCTGAGTCCTGGTATTTACTGACTTTCCTTTCTCTCCTGTCTCAGTGAAAGGCTAAGAATCCCAGGAAAGGGACTGGGAACCTCACCATCCCAACCACCATCATGAAGAAACCATCACCCAAATTAAAACTTGAGTTGTCATTTAATACAGTGCAGGTAAGCGAGCAAAAACTCTGTTTACAGTTGGCGTGATCTGATCTCAGGAGGCTTGTTACTGAGGCAAAATCACTTTGACAGGAGCCACAGAAACATGGCACTCCTGTTGACAGAGAGACCTGCCAAACATTGAAAGGTTGTCTTCTGTCATAATACCACGAAAAATCAAATATAATGAAAAATTAAAATATAGCCACTGGACTTGGCTAATAATAAAAAGTGATCTCCCAGAGGGTGGAAGATGGGAAGAAGTGTGGAAGACCACTTCCATTCTAAACAGCTGTTAAAGGGAAACACCTCCGACTGAAGAGCCTCCCTCTCTTATAGCCCTGAAACTACCATTCTGTCTTTTTTGTTACCGGTTTGGCCAGCACTAATAAGCAGGGCAATTTATATGCTAAATCCATTTTTTTAAAGATCAGAGGGTAGCTCAAGTGCTAAATAAAGAAAACATTAAAATATTATTGACAAATGAAGTATTCTAGAGTCACAGAATAAAAGCAAATAAATAAAAATAAATGCTTGCTGACAGAAGTTGGGAGACAAATTGTTCTCATTTAACATTACTGCTTTTTAAACCATAAACCAACCATAATAAATGGGTGTGTGTAGTACTCAGCAGTCAGTAGGTTGTCTTAGAGTAGTGAAAGTTATAATGAGGGGTGCTAGTGTTCTTAAATGCTAGGAAGCAATGCTGGAACTCACTGTGCACTGAACTCCAAAGCACTGTAGCAGTACTTGGTGTGGGACCAGATTCATAACACTATTTCACTATTGGTTTCACTATTGCAAAGGCCCCTTCTTGTGCCCACAAGCTAGATATCCTGGAGCAATGATCCTCCTGAAACCAGAGCTTCGTGGTTGTCACGGTCTAGCACGATGACTTTTGGAAACTGTGGGTCTGGAGAAGCTCTCTGCTTCAGCAAAAGACAGAATGTCCGGGGTCACACTGTCTATCAGCTCTAAAATCGCCGAGTCCCTTTCCCTGAAGCCGCTTTTCACTACCTCTGAAAAGGAAAGTACTGACTGGTGCCAGCAATCACTGGTTCAGGGCTTCAGGTATTCTTCAAAGACCAAAAGCTCCAGGTGAAGAGTTGGAAAAAAGAAAGAGTAAAGAATTGAAATAGGGGCTGGAGAGATGGCTCAGAGGTTAAGAGCACTGGCTGCTCTTCCAGAGGTCCTGAGTTCAATTCCCAGCAACCACATGGTGGCTCACAACCATCTGTAAAGAGATCTGGCGCCATCTCCTGGCGAGTATATATAAAATAAATAAATTTAAAAAAAAAAGAATTGAAATAAACGAAGCATCCTACGTGTATTTGCTACCTACCCATGGCATTTGTAAGAATTCTACAGGCAAGGGGCACGCCAGTCTTACCTACCCACCAAGGGGATCCTTGTGAACTCTGCAGGTTCATTCAGCTCACCAGAAGCACAGAATATAGGCAAAGCATATCACAGGTGTTCACCATTGCTCTCTGGACCTGCTAATAGTGGACTGGCAGAGCTCAGCTTTCAAAGTGGGAAACTGCCACTGAATATTCATTCCTAGTATATTCAGCATACTAGTCCTAAGTCTAGTCAAACAGTACTGCACACCCAGAAAGGAACCCAGGTCAGTTGGAAGCACTAAAGATAACTTTGTTCTGGCTTTATTTGTTTTTATTTTTTGTTTTTAAATTGAAGAATAAACTGAGCTGTTCCCTACCAGGATAATGCATCACCATCTTATGGAAAATAGAATCAGCAATAGACCCATAATAAGATGAACACAGGAAAATTTGTTGCATAGATCTCATTCCACAAGAAAAAAAAAAACCCAACCACTTCTTTCAGCCCCAAGTCCACTGCTTAGCCACTCAGAAGAGGTTGGTTTCAGGGCAGAAATGATGCTGACTTGGTCCTGAACTCACTTTGCTACATCAACTTCAGAAGTAGCTAAAAATAGTAACAATGACAACAATGACAAACTCTATCGCTTTCAAAATTGTAAATCTGGGAGCTAGAGTAATGGCTCAGTGGTTTTGAGTGATTGCTGCTCAATTATGAGGTCCAGAATCCTAATATTCCTGCTTGTGAGCCTAGCCTTTAACAGACGAAGCATTTCTCCAGCCTGTGAGGACCAGAATTCTAACCCCAGCACCCACTTCTTGCAAACACCCATATCTCCAGCTGAGCAGGATCCAATTCCCCATGCGGGCTTGTATACCCTCAAAGGTGCGTACATCCCAAAGACAATGTACACACACATAACTTAAAAATTCCAGCTCTGTCTGAATAAAGATATTTTCCCAGACAATGTGAGGCAGCTGGTCTTTCTTCCCTCTCTGTCACTCGGCACATATTCAGGGTGAATAACAATAGACTTGTGCTTGCATGTCTCATACCAATTCTCTCCTCCCTGGATGTGTGAAAGACAAGAACAACACCGAGAGTGATGTTTAGAGACTCTTTAGAACAAGACCTCCTCATCTGGGGTCCGCGGACCCCCCTGAGGAATCAAAGAGCAATTCTACTTTCCAAATCTTTGAATTTATATGTAAAACTGTAGAAATTTGCATATGCACACTTTTCTGGGAATAGAGCCTAGGACTCTCATTAGATTATCAATGGAGGCACTGATACACACAATGAAAACCCATTACCTTATAGCACGTGGCCCACTTTCTGAGCACTCTTTTCCCATCTAACCTTCAGGGAAGGAAATGATAAGTGTTTTTGTTTTTAGAGGAAAGGGGGGGATGATAATAAGTTGGGGGCTTTTCATGCGGAACTGATGAAGTTGGGCCTTAAGAGATGATGATTAGTGCCGGAGGGTAGGGCATTTCAGCAGAGGGGCTGGCATGACCAGCAACCCAAAGGTGGGTTACGGGAGGCATGTAGAGGTAATGATAAATGGATCTGTTGCACTAGAGGGTGTGTGGAAGAGCCATGGGAGACAAGAGAAAGAACTGAGAATATCAAGCCCTAAGGAGGAAGCCTCAGCCTAAGGCAATTGAGACCCCCTACAGACCAAAAGTTTGTTCCAAAGACTCCTCCCGTGGTAATGTGTGAGACAGTTCTGGGAAGAGTCTGGGTGTGTGAAGGTTATTACTCAAATCTAAGCAAAAGAGGATGCTCTGAAGTCAGTGTCCGTCTGCCTTTTCAGTTAGTCTACACCCAATGTGCATCCCAGGGCCAGACACAGGGTGGATGCTCAGTACAGATTCAGTGAGCGAGTGACTAAGGGAACACAAGTTAAGACGGAAAAAGGAGTGTTGAATTTGAAAAGCCATCTTCTTGTGATTCACAGAGCCTAGCAGTGCTACACATAGGATAGATACTGAGGAAGGGTCTCTTGAACTGGCCTGAACCAGCCTGGCTGGGTGTGGGTGGCGAAAGAGATGTAGTAGGAATCCAGCACTCAGAGTGAGGCCCGGGTGTGTTGGTACTGAAACAGGGAGCAACTGTTCAGAACATGCTTGTGTAAGGAAGCCAAAGCAAGGTGGTACGGTGGCAAGAGCTCTCTAGGGCAAGGTCAAAGATGACAGTTGTGGGTCTTACTCTTTCTCCAACTACACAGTGTGTGATTGAGACAGCAATGACCTCTGCAGCTCTCTTGCAAGGGCCCCTCTACAGTTATGTCCTAGACTTTTTTCAGTTCTCTACTTGCAAAGTACTCTAGTCCTTCCTTTCCTTGACTCCTACTCATTTCCCATTGCACTCGGGCAAGACTCACCTGAAGTCTAAATTGCAATAACGGTTCAAGTCCAAAGGTTCTTAGTCTGTGATCAAAGATGTGGTGGCCATGGCCTTGGTGTGTCACTGGTTACAACTGAGTATAGGACAACAAAATGGTAGAATCTGACCACATAGTCTGTTTCTGCAAAAATGTACCTTGTCCTTTTAACTGCCCTGATGGATCCAGAGCTCATAACTACTGCTCTCTCATGCTGAGTGTGGAATGGGAGACAGACATATAAGGAGCTTTGTTTCTATAATAAAAACTTAAAAGTAACCCTTGGTCCTCGGATTTTCTGCTCAATCAAAAGCATCAGTTTACATAAAAGATTGTGCTCCCTTACATTACTTTCCAGAAGGAAAAAAAGAAAGACTTGAGGAAACGAGTAAAACGTCCTCTAGTTTCTTATTGTTGTCATTACAAGCAGTACCTACTCACCAAACTGCACAGGCCTTCAAATCTGGGCAACACATAAAGAAGTAAAGCCCTCCCATTAGGGACCCACACAGCCATGATTTTTGTCTTGATCATTTTGTTTCAATAATCCATATGGAAGAGGGAAACAGAGGTATAGTCTCAGATTCTATTCAAATTCGTATCTACAAGGTACCCAGCTGTAAGCTGTCCAAGTGTCTAGGACTCCAGTTGATAGTGCCCACTCATTACCCCCCTCTAGGGGTGCCTGGATGGAATAAATTGCCCTTCAACTTAACAACAAACACTGCCTGTCTGTGGAGATTCCTTCCAAATAATGCACAAGAAAGCAGATATTAGTCCACATACTCATACTGAAAACATTCTTACAGGGGAAAGCATCACACAGGAAGAATAAGTCAGTTATAAGCAAAGTGTCAAGAATTTCTTTCCAGTTGAGAGAGGGGAGCGGACAAGAAAACTTGTACCCAGTCAGGTCCACAGTCATCCTATCCACGCTCCATTCAGTACTTTCCCTAGTCATATAGAACTGCCGCCAGGTCCTCAGAACACCAGGAGGCAAACGGGACACACACATGACACCAACACACAAGTATTGTTTAATCAAGCACAGCTTCTCGAGCCTATTCTGACTACTTATCAATCAGGTCCCTCCACACAGGAGTGGCGTCAACAGAAAATAATCTACAGCTAAGTTTTCTACAGGTAAGACTTTCTAACCTAAGAGTTCAACATTATCCCCCATTTCCATACGCCCCACAGCGGCTTAAGTAGCAAGCATCTTCAAAACGCTCCCTCTTGGCCTCTTTGAAAATGAACAACACTCTTTAAAGATTTTTGTGGGAAAGCTATATCAAAAGTAGGTTGCTTTTCAAGCAAAATGCATTTAATTTCTCAGAAACTTCCATCTTTGAGGGGCCTCATCAACCCAGTAAGGAGTAACTTTTACGCAGTTGGTCAGAAGCAAAGTCATTGACTTGCAGTTAAGTCCTACAGCCCAAATCCACAGCCACAAATCCACTTGCCCAACCACTGCCTGGAAAATGAACTAAGCTATGCAAAGCTGTTTTCAGAGACAAATACAGACACATTCCACCCATTCAGGGGCTCTGGGGAGAGGAAGAGAGAGGGGGGTGATGGGAAGGGATGAGAGATTATGAAGCCCTAAGATTTGGTGACAGTCCTGTTCTACTCTGACCCAGAGACAGTGGGACACCTGACAAGGTGCATTCAGGAAACTGCAGGGGACTCAGACACAAGGAACACCCCCAGGCTTCTCTTTCCAATGCATCTTTGTCTTCAAAAAGTCATGACAGTTGACAAGCTTCTGCCTACAACAGTCAAATACTTTCCTATACTTTCCTTCACCCCTGTTAACCCACCATGGTCCTAAGCTTTATCTTCTCCAAATCAATAAACAGGCACGTTAGCACTTGGGAGGCAGCGAAGCCACACGCCAATGCACTCGGCAATGAAGGAAACGCTGTTCCGTAAAGGCCCAGAGCGGAGGACCACATTGTAGCTGACGATGATTTGCAAAGCTACTTCCAAAGTTCTTCCAGCCAAGCCACAAAGAGGAATGACTCGGCCCTAATTGGCTTTGAGTGTGTTTAGTCTGCACAGCCTTTGTGAGTGACTGTGCTTTTTGCCCAGCTATGGAAGTCACTTTGCCCGCAGATCCTAACAGGTATGACGCCCAGTGAAGAATAAAATTGGCTCGTGCTGCACCACTTCCGGGAGGTTTAAAGCACTCTACTAATGCAGCTGCGCGAATCCCCACAACACCCCTGTGAGGTAGGTAGGTGGAGAGTATTGTCACGCCCACTTTACAGGTGGGATAAATGAGGCACACAAGAGTTAAAGGACCTGCCCCAAATCACCCAGCTAGTCACTGGCAGGGTTCAGAGCGAAACTCCTGCTGCATAGCACCCCCACTCAGTGCCACACGCATATAACGGTTATCTGTCCACTGAATATCGGCGGACTTCATCTGACTTCTGTCTCAACATACAAGTACACACACAAAGTACAGCCGCAGCTGAAGGACATCACCGCCTACATGTTTTCTGATGATACCTCTTATTACTTAAAACCCAGGTAGATGGCTGATGCTCAAGAATCCACCTGACGATCGAGTCCTCAGTTGGAAAGGATCAATGTCAACACTCAGGTGACAACCCACACTCATGTATCTGCCCTCCCACACAATATTGGTTTTCTAATGAAAACAAAAATGGATTTCAGGTACCATGCTGATATTTGTTTGGTCTGTTTTAAACGGAGCCGTCTGAATGGTTCTGTGTTTTGTTTGTACAAAAAAAAAGAAATAAGGCGGCTTATAGTCCCGTTAGCATGTTAAAACTGAGCCAAGCTTGGAGATCTCCTCCCAGCTCAGGTGGATTTCTACCTGGGAAACCAGACTGACCCCAGGGAGTGGTGGCTCCTAAGGAAGAGGGGTCCGTGGCGGGACATCACTTGCACTGTTCATGGTCTGTGCAGTCATCCATGTCCACGTCAGAATCAAAGAGAGAGTGTCCCGTGAAATCCGTGTCTGGCGTCCTGGAAAAACTGTTCTCAGCCCCCTCGTCTTCGAAGGTCTCTGTCCTTGAGTAGAAGCTAAAGTCCAGCATGGGTGTGTGCGTCTTGCTGCCCTCGCTGCTCTCCTCGGACTCGTAGATGGTATTGTCATCGTCATGGTGCCACTCGGGCCAGAATTTCCGCCTGATCCTCTCACAGTACATGGCGAGGTTGATCAGCTCCCCTGCAGTGCGGCAGATAAGCAAGAGTTAGCGCTCAACGGCTGTGACCTGACAGTGGTGTGGTCAGAAGGCCTGTGCCCCCCGGAATCCAAGCGCTACAATCCAAACTCCCAAGGAGAAGTTGGGAGGCAGGGCATCTGGAGGGGATGAGGGAGGGGCTCAGGTGGAGCATCTGAAGGGGATGAGGGAGAGGGCTCAGGTACATGTACACAAAGAATGCTCAATCACACCACAAGAACACTTCCTTAGTTATGTTCATAGCAGCTTTATTTGTAATAGCCAGAACCTAGAAACAACCTAGATATCCCTCCGCTGAGGAACGGATAAAGAAAACGTGGTACATTTACACAATGACGTATTCCTCAGCTGTTACAAACAAATACTCCAGGAAATCTGAAGGCAAATGGATGGAACTAGAAACAATCATCCTGAGTGAGGTAACCCAGACCAATAAAGACAAACATGGTACGTACTCACTCATAAATGGATGCTAGTGGCAAAAGAAAAGATAACTATGATACAATCCACAGACCCAGAGAGACTAGGTAACAAGGAGAGTTCATTGTGGGACACACAGATTTCCCTGGTAAGGGGAAATAGAAGAGATTTTGTGAATGGACTGAGGACGAGTGGGGATGGAAATGTAAATGATCAAGTTAGTGGGGGCAGAAAGGGGGAGAGTGTTGAGGGAGACTGCTGGGGGGTGCATTTCGGAGTTGTGTGGAAGCCCAGCACAAGGGACTCTCCCAGGAGTCTGTGGGGAAGACACAGCTCAGGCTCCAAGCAATAGTAGGTAAGTAGCCTAAATTTGCTGTCTCCTGTGACCAGACTGGTGCCTGGCTCACTTGTCATCAGAGAGGCTTCAACCAGCCACTGATTTAGGCAGATGCAGAGACCCACAGCCTAACATTAGGTGGAGTTCAGGAATCCTGCAGAGGAGGAGGGAAAAGAGGTGTGGTAGCCAGAGGGGTCAAGGACACCACGGGAAGGCTCACACAATCAACTAACCTGGGCTCATAGAGGCTCACAGAGACTGAATTGACAATCACGGAGTCTGTATGAGACTGATCTAGGCACTCAGCAAATATGTTACAGTTGTGTAGCTTGGTCCTCTTACGGGACTCCTAATAGTGGGGACAGTGGCTGTCTCCAACTCTTTTACTGACTTTTGGGACCCTACTTCTCATACTGGGTTGCCTTGCCCAATCTTAATATACGGGGAGGTACTTAGTCTTACTGCAGTTTGACAGGCCATGTTTTATTAATTCTCATATGAGACCCGCCCTTTCCTGGATGGAGATGGAAGAAAAGGGGATTGAGGGCTGGGAGAGGGAATGGGGAAAGGGGGGGCGGGGGGGGCTGCAGGTGGGATGTAAAATAAATAGATGAAAAACTAAAGAATTGTCCTTACAGATGACTGTGCCTACAAACACATCTAATAAAATTTGTTTTTACTCCTTTAAATATTTCAAGTTAAACAGCTGTACACACAATTATAAATAGTTTCTGATCACCATTTCCAGCAGAAAAATGAAGAAATTGTGTGAGTTTTGCCTTTGATCCACCAGATGGCAGTGTTGTTTATAAACAGTAATTCGACTAACTGCCTCTAAAGATGCTTTCTTTTTAGCTTTATAAACATTTCCCTTCTTACATGTGTAATCCATGTTTAGTGAAAAAAAACTAGAAAATACTAATAAGCAAAGATCAAAGAATGTCTAGTAACATGTTTTATGTTCATGTGCTTTTCCCGGGCTTACACAGACTTGCATTTGCTACCGTCTGTCCGCGGTCCCTTGTCTACTTTAACAGCACACACAAGGACCTGAGCTTCACAGTACAGCACCCGTGTTTATCTAAAGACCTATTAGTATGTGAAGGCAGCACACACGAGTTTTCTTTCTTTCAGTCCCTTGCCAAAGATGCTCCACTTCTTTCCACACTGATGGCTGTTGGTTAGCGTCTAACTGCTCTATCAGAGGAAATGATTTGTAAGACTGCAAGGCTGTGAATGGGAAGTATTTAAACACAAAGAAAATGCATTCATCATTAATCCAGGGTAATCACTATTAACACTTTAACTTGTCTTTTCTACTTATCTACTGTAGTCGTTATCTGTTACCCCATTTAACATTACTGTAAACATTTTCCCCTGTCATTAAAACATTCAGACCCTGATAGGTGTTTTCCTTTAATTTACACACCCTCATAAGCATAATGACACAAGAGTCCCTGCTTTCCGGGCCTGCAAATCTAAGGCCTTCTACTGGTTAGAGGTCACCAATTTTATTCTTAAATCACAATAGTGAAGGCCACATGGTTTAAGAGCCCATGCTGTTTGTCTTCCGCTGAGGTAGTTATCCATAGGCTCAGGAGACAGAAACTGAGAATGGGCATTAACACTCCCTTGAGGAGATGCATATAAACTCTTTCCCTGTTTTCTCCTTCGGGGATAGGCATGGGACATCTTCCCAGTACCAATGAGAACCACAGGTAACCAGGAACTGTAAAAGAATATGGAGATAGCAGCAAGAGAGAGGAAGACTTGAGAGCCTGAGGCAGGTAGATCAGAAGGTGAAGGTTTGTCTGGTGTGGTAGTTTGAATGAGAATGCCCCCACAGGTCCATACATGTAAATGTTTGTTCACCAGGGAATGGCCTTATCGGAAAGGACTGGAAATATTAGGAGATGTGTAGCCTTGGTGAATCAGGTGTGATCTTGTTGGAGGAAGGATGCTATTGGAGGTTTCAAAAGCCCACGCCAGGCCCAGGGTCCCTTTCTGCTTGCAGATTAGTTACTTCTCCAGCACTATGCCTCTTGCCACACTCTGAGCCATTATGATAATGGACCACACCTCTGAAACTGTAAGTCAGCCCTTAATTAAATGTTTTCCTTTATAAGATTTGCTGTGGGTCATGGTGTCTCTTCACAGCAATAAAATAGTGACATCTGGACTACAGAGTGAGTTCAAGGCCACCATGTACAACTTAATGTGATCTTGTCTCTAAATATAAAAGTAAAAATTTTTTAAAGTATATTAAAATGAAAGCTAGGGACATGGCTCAGTTACAGAGCACTGGCCTAGCCACAAAAAGCCTTGGGTTTCATTCCCAGCATTTACCAAAAACTGGGAGAAGAGGAGGAAGGGAAGCAAAAGGAGGAGTGGAAAGATAAAAGGGTAGCACAGGAAAAGCAGGAGAAAGAAGAAAAGAAAATTAAACTCTAGCCATAAAATCTACGAGACACCAGCATTTGAGCCTCTACCACTGGGACTGCTTTTTTTTCTATGCCCTTGCTTCTTTACCTTTCTACCAGAGGAGTCTTTCCCTTGGGGTGGGGGGAGACACTAATGTCACTTTTGTGTGAGATCATGAAAATTAATAATTGCTGTGGATTATGCTCATTGTTAATAGAAAGCTGATTGGCCGGTAGCTGGGCAGGGAGAGATTGAGCACGAGAGCCAGACTAGGAGAATTCTGAGAAGAGGAAAGGTAGAGCCAGAGTCGCCAGCCAGGCGCAGAGGAAGCAGGAGAGGAACATGCCATGCCAATAAAGAAAGTGCCAAATGGCAGAGTGTACATAAGGAATATGGGTTAACTTAAAATGTAAGAGCTAGTTAGTAACAAACCTGAGCTATTGATCGAGCATTTATAATTCATATTCAGCCTCTGAGTCAGTTATCTGGAACCTGATGGTCAGGACAAGAAACGTCCATTTACAAATAATCAGGGGACATTTATATGCTCTTCATCATGACCAAGACGCCACTGCATGGGCTTTCCTCGTTTGCTGAACTCATACTAACCTGCACATTCATCACCTCCAACCACGATCCTACAGTCTCGGTTGAGGAGTAGATTGACCTGGCATGTAACTTTACACTATTGGTCATGAACTACTGCCCTGCGTTTCTTCCTGGAATTACGAGAGGTAAGGAACTACTTCCTAACAGCCATGAGCTATGCAAGACGAGGTCATAATTCTATTGCATAATTGAGAGGGTTAGCCTTGATGTTCAAGGGCTCTGAGCCCACATATCCCACCCTACCCCTGAAAAGAGAACGGAACAAAGAGTGAACATCTGAAGCTTTACCTTGCTCCTCTATTCCTTTCCCATGAGATGTCCCACTTAGCATGCTACCAACCAAAAAAACTGTAAAGGTTACAATAGAAACAGAAGTTGGGAGGACAGGAGAGAGGTGGGGGAAGGGAGCGAAGGACAGAGGGAGAGAGGACACGTGTTAACATGAGTGCCTATTCTAAATATATAAACTTTATGAAGAGAAAAACAGGATTTCTTCAAGGCAAGCTCAACAATCATACAACAATGTCATCTTCTGTAGAGTATAAACTATTGAAAATTAGTGTGGTAATATCCAATACTGATAAGGATATAGAGGCTAAGCATCTCATTTTGTGGATAGTAAAGGGCTGTTATAGTCTACTTTGGAACATAATTTGATCGTATTTATTGAAACTTTGAGTGTACATATATGTTGGCTTTGGATTCCACTTTGAGTTCTCCATTCTACTAAACCAAATTCATCAGTATATAAACTTACATACACATGGGTGTCAAGTGTGGCATTTCATATCAGCTCAGGAAGAAAGAGAGGAAAGGGGAATGAGGGAGGAGGAGATAAAAGGAAATAAGGATGTCCATCAATAGAGCCTGATTGAATAAATTACCCCTGCTATAGGAAGTTGTACAGCTATTAAAGATTCTAGTAAGTTAAATGTTGTAGATAGAGTAAGGCATACTGCACTGCTCTCCTTTAAACAAACAGTAAAAACAAGCATATTAAAACCATATATGTATGTATAAATGTGTACCTGAAAGAGAAAGAGCTTACATTAACTCTTCTATGTTGATTATTCCATGGGAATGAAAATAGACATTGATAAAGAGGAAATCCATACATTTTAACCTGTTCTCTTATGATTCAATTTGTAACCATTATGTATTACTGTCTAATTTGAAAATACAATCAATCAGTGAAGACAGGAAGGAAGGAAGGGAGGAAGGGAGGGAGGGAGGGAGGAAAGGAGGGAGGGAGGGAGGGAGGGAGAGAGAGAGAGAGAGAGAGAAAGAAAGAAAGAAAGAAAGAAAGAAAGAAAGAAAGAAAGAAAGAAAGAAAGAAAGGAGAAAATGCCAAAAGTGGAATGAGGTAGGACATAGCTGCCTACCCTGGGACATTAACCAGCAAACATTTGTCAAACATGGGGCCAATAGCCAAACACACACATGCACACACACACGTGTTCTGCAGGCAGGCATGTACACTCAGTACAGCCCTGTCCCATGTGCTGGAAACTTATAAAAAGAATACTAGCAAAAATATCTTAAGCAACCCATAAATACAAAAAAAAATACTAACCACATAAATTACAATATAGCAAAAGAATAGGATATTATATAACTACTAAAAATACATTCTTGAAGAATATTTAATGACAAAGGAAGAGTAAAATGTACTGCCTATTTAAAACTTCAGGTTATAACTGTGTCAACACGATAGTCCCAGCTTTTTAAAGTGCATGCACACTTGTGCTTGACTAAAAAAAATGAAAACACATAGCACAATATATCAGTGTTCTCTGTGATGGGTAAAATCACAAATATGTGTGACTGTCTGTCTGCCTGTTTGTTAGCTCAGGCCTGGAACTCTACGTAAACAAGGCTGGTCTCGTGCCCACCATCCTTTAGCCTCAGTCCCCCATGTGCCAGGGTTACAGATGTGAACCCCCATGCCTTGTTTACATTTCTCATTTTTTTACATTTTCTATCTTTTCTACATTTTCTCCAGTTAAATGTGTAATATCTGGCAGTTGTATGCATAGCTGCAGTGCATGGCTTTATTTTTATTATACTTATCTATTCGGAGTGTCACGAGCAAGGTCAGAGGAATTGATTCTCTCCTACTGTGTGGGTTCTGGAGATCAAACACTGGCTAGCAGGCTTGGGAGCAGACCCCTGTACCTGCTGTGCCATCTCACTGACCCTCCACAAGTGGAATTTCAGAACTGCTGACTATTCGGTCTGTCTTCCTAGTCATCTACACTAAGGAGAATTTCTCACCCTGTCAAGCAGCTCCAGTAGGAGCTCGTGTGGTTCTGCCAGCAGCAAGGACCAAAGAACAACCCACTCCATCACACTCATACACAAAGACAAGGCCAACGGTGTCCTGGTTGTTCCAAAGCTATGGCAGAAAACTTCCCCACCCAAGCCACTTAGGCTCCTGGGTTTGGACCAATTCTAAATCATCCTGGTCCTTTATTGCTACTTTCTTGGCAAAGTTTCTACCAAGAGAACAAAAGCAATGAAAGGGGTGGATACCAAATTGGCTACATGTTAGGGACACAGAACTGTGGGCCTCACTGAGTCTCACTGCACACATCTCCCCATGCTGCTCCCTACCCACCCGTCCCTGCAGCTCCTATAACACAAAGGGGGCTGGTACTTGCCTTTGATTAGCCGCTCCGGCCTCGTCCCTGGCAAAGTCCACATTGCCTGTGCCAAGTGCCCAAAGACAGTGGCATCAAGAGTGGAAAGCTTGGGCCCCATGATGTACTTCTTGTCACCTGCAGCAAATGGAACAGAAAGGTCACTGGACTAGCCCACCGGTCTAATATGATCACAAGGGCATTGAGCAGAGTCTCCTTATGCAGCTGTTTAACTGTGCACCAAAAACTTCTTTAAGGTCAAAACACAAGCATGCCCTTGACAAAAAAAAGAAAAATGAACAAATGTAACTCCCAAGGTAGCAAAGCAGGGAAGCATGCTCACATACACAAAGGAATAAGGATGCTCCCAGAAAAGGGAATAATTCATGAACAATTAAACTCCAAAGAACCTCCTTGTCTCAACTCTGGTAATAAAAAGATGTGATGCTTACCAAAGCCCGAGAAGTTTGCTAGAACCATCTCAAAAGTAATTTACACCACGCACCCAAGATCTCGATATTTATAAGACTAAATCAATAAATTTGCTTAGAAATGGGCGAAAAACCTAGGAGTTTGAAGCAAGGTTATCCATGATACTCCCATAAACAGGACAACTGTTTTGCACAGAGTGCCAGCTTCCCTGGGAAACCTCAACTACAGAGAAGATACAAGGTCACAGGTTCAACCCTGGCGTCAGGACCTAGGTTCACATAGTGGTCCTTGTGTCTCTGTTTATCCAACACTGATGTTAACTAAGTTCAGGTCTATCACACTTGGCTAAAAAGAACTGCCCACGTTATGTTTTAGGCTGTTGCTGGTACTGTATAGCATAAACAGGAACTTCTTGCAGCAGACTGAGACCAACCAGTCAAAATGTAGAGAACAGTTGATCATGGGATGTCCAGTCCCAGTTGATATGATACATCTACAATATAACTCCTATACCTAGAGCTCAGGGAGCATAAGAGAAGAGGGGACAAAAGTATTTTAAGAGCCAGAGGACCAGGACATCGGCCTTTAGACGTGAGTCACAGAACCCCACCCCTAGATGAAGAGCTATAGGCAATGAACAACTGCTGAGCAGAGGAGAATTAGTCTTCCCCAGGGCAGAGCCCCCTAGTTGGTTACCCAATACAGTGGCCAGCCATAGAAACACACAAATATAACCCACACTCAATAGACTCAGCAGGTTTTATGTGCTTATTCATTTGTAGTTCTAACAATGATAATGAAAGTAAAAGAGGAAACGAATTTGAGAGGGAATGGAGTATGAGGACTAGGGAGAAGCTGGAGGGAGGAAATGGGGGGTAATTATCATTCACATATGTAAAAATTTGAGTTAATCTCATGGAGAAGAAAAACTGTCCCAAGTTGTCCCCTTGGCTGTTGTCAGAAGGAGGCAACAGTAGTGCTGTATTAACCCAGGTTACATCCTTACAGAACCTCTCAGAGTTTTCCTGTCTGCAATAGGGAGATGTTCCTAGGATCTGGTGACATATCTTGTCCATAAAGTGCTTGCTTTGCAAAGATAATAACTTAAATTCACTCCCTACAACCCACATAAAGCAAAAACGGGTGCAACAGCATCTGCTTGTGCTTTTGGGGGAGGTGGAACCTGGTTCGCAGGGCAGCAAGTCAGTGTCAGGTGAGTAGGAGGGCCTGTCTCAAAAGAAAGGGGGATGACACCTGAGGTAAAACCTCTGAGGCTGTTCCCTGACCTCTAGATGCCAAGCACTAATGAGCCTGTTCCTCAGGACTGCTGTGGGGATGTCAAACACTCTGCATCCGTTTCAAGTAACTTGGTGAACACTAGCACTCTTGATGACAGACTCTCCCTTTCTTAAGTGCGTTACATTTAGTGCGTGTCTCATACAGTATGGATGTAATCTTATAAGGCCTTGTCACTCCTTTCCACAAACACTTCCAATGGTTTATTAAAGGAGTCCAGAAATAAAGTCCAAACTCAACTTGGAAGACGAGGCCCATGGTCCTCTGCTCCCAACCCAACCTGTACTCGGTGAAATCTGTCTCTTCCCTTACTCTAGCAGCCCCACTGTTCCGTTCCCCAGAACACGCTGTCTCCCACTGAATACTTCACATGCTATGCTCCACAGCCTGTATTAGTCCCCACTTCTGCATCATCCACCCTGTCAATCTTTGAGGCTCATCACCAGCTTCCTTTCAGAGCTTTCTCCCTCACTCTGCCCAGTGATGACGAAAGCTTCCAATTCACACAGCAGAAGCTCAGTCTGTCCATCTTTATGTCCATCAGCTGCCCAGGACATAAAGCATTTAATGTCTATTAACATCATAGTCCTGAACTATAAAGTGGGAATAGTTTCAAGTCATCAAGAAGACTAAGGTGACTTCAGCTGAACACAGAGGAAATAAGTATCTACCTGGCTTCCTCCTCTCAGGCCCCCTACATAGCATTTTTTTCTCTGCTGTGTGTGCTCAGGTTGTCTTTTATTGGTAGATTTTATCCTTCTAGTAGATGGAAAGAAAGCTCTCTGAAAGCAGGGGTCATTTCTGATTTTTGCTTAACAAACTCTTGCAATGTGCTTTTATTTTCCTGGTCTTGTCATATCTTTGAGTGATGCGCTGAGGAAGTTGGACCTCTGATGTCAATGCACAGGCCAAGGAAGAGGAGAACTTCTAGAGGAGGCAACATGAGGAATAAGATGTAAAGACAAATGAAACTGGGAGATGCTGCTTTTTAAATTACGTCTACTGCCAGATATGGGGTGCACCCCTTGGATCCCCATATTCTGGAGGCATAGACAGAAAGAATGTTTGTGAGTTTGAGGTGTACACAGTGAGTTTCAGGCCAACCAGGGAAAAATAATGAGATCCTGTCTTCAAAAATGAGAAAGAGAGGGAGGAAGGGAGGGAGGGAGGGAGGGAGGGAGGGAGGGGGGGGGGGGGGGGGGGGGGGGGGGGGGGGGGGGGGGGGGGGGGGGGGGGGGGGGGGGGGAAGTGGAGGAGGAAGAGAATGTGTTGAAATAGGAGCGGCGGGGCTGCGTCCCCAGCACCTCAGCCGCCTGGCTAGCTTATGCCTGAAATAACAACACACAAACTGTATTTATTTAAAGACTGCTTGGCCCATTTCTATCTAGCCTCTTCTAGGCTAATTCTCACATATTAATTTAGCCCATTTCTCATAATGTGTGTAAGCACCCCAAGGTGGGCTTACCAGGAAGATTCTAGCCTACGTCCATCCTGGGTCAGAGTTGCCTGGGAGAGCAGAGCTATCGCGTCTACCCGGGAGAGCTGAGCATGGTGTCTCTGCTCCAGAGAGCAGAGCTGTCGAGTCTCTCTGGGAGCCGAGCAGAGTCTGACCTCACTTCCTCTTCCTCCCAGCATCCTATTCTGTTTACTCCACCCACCTATGTTCTAACCAATAAAATGGGCCAAGCCAGTTTCTTTATTAGCCAATGACCTTCCTCCATCAAGAATGGAGGAAGGAGAGGAAGAGAGAACATGTATTATGTATCCTGTAGGAACCAAGGAATACCCTATGCTAGGACAATACCTGAGCTTAGCCAAATTATCTTTTCTGATGAAGAAAATCAAGTTTTCCTTGTTAAAGCTCTCGGTGTTTCTCATTGTCCACTGATCTCTATTACTTCTCAGTAATCTAAGCAATTTACTCAAGTAATAGGAAAGTAGTGATATACTACCCAGGCAAGAAGGTCATCATTCAATCTAAGGACTGCAATGTCTCTGTTTTTAACTTCATAAAAGTTCTAAGTGTGTGTGCATGTGTGTGTGTGTGTGTGTGTGTGTCTGCTACAGCAGGTATTTAGAGGTCAGAGGACAATCTCAGGTACCAGTCCCCACTTCTACCTTGCATCTGTATGCCATACTACACCAGGCTACCTGACATACTAAGGACTCTCCTGCCTTTGCCTACTAGCAGGAGCACAGACACTACAGACACACACCACAGTATCTGACTTTATGTGAGTTCTGGGCGACAGAACTCAGGTTCTCAGTCTTGTGTGACAAATGCTTCCCCGCTGAGCTATCTCCCAGGCCAATGATTTTTCTGATGGTAGATCTTGCTTTCTCCGTGCCTCAGTTACTGCTCTATTTACATGGGAAATGTCGGTGGCTGAGAGATACTTCTCAGAGCTCTCATGCCATTCTGCTAGGGCAGGAGACATCAGCAGATGATTCAAGAATCTCTCCTTGGGATTGTGTCAGGGCTCCTCCCAGTCACAGTCCAAACCAGGCCAGCCCATGTGGACACCTTAAAGGTAGTAAAAATGAAGCCACATAAAACCTACAGAACAAGGAACACTGAAAAAAAAGGAGGAAGAGGGAAGAAGGAGGAAAAGGAGGAGGAGGAGGAAAAAGAGGAGGAAGAAGAGGAGGAGGAGAAAGAGGAAGAAGGAAGAGGATTCTGACTCCTGTTCCTCATCCCCCCAAAAAGGAAAGAAGTATTCTAGAGGAACTAGAGAGATGGCTCATCAGCAAGACAAGCACAACTGAATTCAGTCTGCAAAACACACTTTGGGATTTTTTTAAAAGACTGAACAGGGTGACGCATGTTTGTAATCCCAGAACTGGGGATGCAGAGACAGGAGACCTTCAGATTTGTGGGAAAGCTATCTCACTCAGAAAGCTGTAGCCACTAAGAGGTCTGCATTAAAAAAGAACAACAATGATAAACAGTACCTGAGGAACGGCACCTGCAGTTGTCCTCTGGGTCTTCATGCACACACATGCACAAGCACACACACACGCAAGCACTCTAAGGGAAATACTAGGGTGTGTAATATGAAGTCTGATAAAAAAAAAATCAAAGACTTTGAGGACAAAATGGAAAACTGCATATAGATAAAACATTTAGAAAATCTAAACGCAGAGCATAATAATACATACAATATCTATATAATCATTTTAACTTGTCCATCAGCTTGTGTGCATGGTAGTTAGCCAAAACTATTTGGTCTTAGAAAATTACAAGTGGAAAGAAGCCAAATAACAACAGAACCAGACTAAGCTGCTGGCACCACAGCCTTATGGGTTCTGGCCCAGTGTTCTTTGTCTTCCTAATAATATGCATGCATCCATCTCAAAGACAAAGGCACCAGAAACAACAAGGCCAGCAGAGCCAAGAGAGGAAAAGCAGA